CCAGTGATTAGGGAGAGGTGAAGGCAAGAAGGAAGAGGTCGTGGCTATAAAAGGGCAAGATGAGGCATCCTTGTGGTGATGGATATATTGTTTCTTGCATAAATATCTGTATCTTGGTCGTAATATTGTACTATAGTTTTAAAGGATTTACTGTTGGGAGAAATGGGTGAAGAGTAGATTTCTTTGTATTATTTCTTACGTTGCATGTGTATTTATAATTATCACAATATAAAAGTTTAATTAAAAACTAGTAGGTCACGGGGGTGGCTCCATAGTGTAGTGGTTAGCACATCTGCTTTACACGCAGAAGGTCCTGGGTTCGCACCCCAGGTGGAGCCACGGGCCAGGCCCCCAGGTACACGCCCCAAACACGTAGGAGGAGACACCCCACCTTCAGAGATCCAGTTCTTAAGGGGAAACTGCAACATCCATAGGTCAGGGGTGGAAGTGGCGGGGACGGGGGCAGGGGGGCGGGAATTAAAGAGGGGGGAAAACAAAAAACTAGTAGGTCACAATAATGAGACTACTTACCACTTAGAATACCTCTAAGAATGATAAAAATGCAGAATACTGACAATACCAAATGCTGATGAGGATATGGAAAGAGAAGAACTATCATCTGTTGCTTGTGGGAATGCAAAATGGTACAGCAACTTTGGAAGAGTTTGAATTTCTATAAAACTAAACATACTCTTACTGTATTGTGCTCCTTGGTATTTACCCCCCCCAAAATTGAAAACTTATGTCCACACAAACATCTACATATGGATGTTTATATAAGCTTTATTAAGAATTGCCCAAACTTAGAAGCAATCAAAATGTCCTTTAATAGGTAAATGGATAAATAAACTGTGGTACATTCAGGCAATGGCATATTATTCAGAGCTAAAACTAAATGAGCTATCAAGCCATGAAAAGACATGTAGGAAACATAATGCATATTACTAAGTGGCAGAAGCCAATGTGAAAAGGCTACATATTATATGATTTCAACTATATGACATTCTGAAAAAGGCAAAACTATGAAGACAGTGAAAAGATCAGTGGTTGTCAGGGATTGAGGGGGACAGAGGGTTAAATAGAACACAGAGAATTTTAGACCAGTGAAACTATTCTGTATGATACTATAATGGTGGATACATGTCATTATACACTTGTCCAAACCCACAGAATGTACACCAAGAGTGAACCTTAATGTAAACTATGGACTTCGGATTGTAATGTGTCAAAGTAGGTTCATTAATTGTAACAAATGTACCACTCTGGTGGGGATGTTGATAATGGGGGAGGCTATGCATGTGTGGAGATGGGGAGTATATGGGAAATCTCTGTACTTCTGCTTAATTTGCTCTACTCTAAAAAAAAAAGTTTATTTTTTAAAAAAAGGTAAAACCATTAAAACACTGGAATAAAACAGAAGAGTGCTGTAAAATCTCACAGTAGGAAAAGCAAGACGCAAGACATAAAGCTTCCCAAAGGCAAAAATGTATACATTTGATTTATAAATGTTTTAAATTTCTACATGCAAAAATCAAAAGATGAATGATAAGTTGAACCAAATATTTATAAAAAAAACAACACAAAATTCCTTGTTATATAAAAAGATTGTATGTATCACTAAGAAAAAGCAAACCGATAGAGAAATAAACACAAACAGATCATTTCCAGAAACAAATAAAAACATAAACTTGAAAGAAGTCCAATTTCACTCATAATTAAAGAAATATACATTAAAACTAGATAACATTTTCATCTATCAGATTAGCCGAAATGTAAAAGTTCGCTAAAATAGTGCATGTTCAAAGGTGTGAAAAAACTGTCAAAATTGAAACAAATCTACACAAAAACCTGCACACAGATGTTTATAGCAGATTTACTCATAATTACCAAATCTTGGAAGCAATTAAGATGTCTTTCAATGGGTGAATGGATAAACTGTAGTATATCCATACAATATAATACTATTTAGCACTCAAAAAATGTCAAGTCACAGAAAGACATGGAGGGATCTTAAATGTTTACTGCTAAGTGAAAGAAACCAATCTGAAAAGTCTATACTCTATGCTTCTAACTACACTGTATGACATTCTGGAAAAGGCAAAAGTATAGTGACAGTAAAAATATCAGTACTTCATTCAATTCTAAAAGGGGAGGGAAAAGAGGAGGAAGGGATGAATAGGTGAATCACAGAGGATTTTTAGGATAGTGAAACTATTGTGTATATTGCTGCAATGGTGGATACATGTCATTATACATTTGTCAAAACCCAAAGAATGTAAAACATTGTGAAACTTAATGTAGACAAGAGACTTCAGTTAATAATAATGTACCAACATTGGTTCATCAGTTGTAACAAATGTACCACACTAATATGTAAATGTAAATAATAGGGGAAACTATGGGGGAGAAGAGGGAAGTATGTTGGAGCTCTGTACTTTCTGATAAATTTTTCTGTATGCCTACGACTGCTCTAAAAGGGTAAAGATCAACTTAAAAAAGGTCACTATTGGAGGATTCTATAAACTAATTATTTTGAAATTATTATATTTATATTATATTTTAAATATATAAAATACATAATATATTAAATAAATAAAATATATTTTATGCTATATTATTATATAAACTAATTATTTCCAATACACACTGGACCACTGGGAAACCAAATAATAGTGAGATAGTTTCTCTTTATAGACATTCCAACTAATAAAAGAAGGAATGATATCTCCATTTTGCAATACCTGATGAATTAATCTATCTAGGTATTGATCATCAAAGCCTGCTAAAAGTACAAAAGGAGACACAACCAAATGGTAAAATAGGACATCATCTTAACAAAAAAGAAAAAGAAAAAGAAAGTAAGAGAGAAAAACTTGAGTCTGATAAAGATCCTAGATCCAACTATTGATTTACAGAAAATACAAAGGACAGTAAAACATGCTAAATGGCATTATGGGGATGCAATCAGCAAAATCTATGTTGTGTAAAACCATAGGTCAAATGACAAAATTCTCTGATAAATTTCAAGAGGTGGAAGAAAATCTTTATATTAAAAGAGACTTACAAGTCAAATCAACCAATCTCAATGTATGAACTTTATCTGGATCTTGATTCATACAAATTCTAAATTTAAAAAATTATTAGACAATTGGAAATTTGACTAGATATTTGATGATATTAAAGAATTAAGTGGTTACGTGTGATATTGTAATAGTCTCTTTTTTTAAGCTTATTGAGCTTCACACTGTTAAATTTACATATGAAATGAAAAAGTATCTAGGATTTATTTTAACATAAAGTAGGAAAAAAGGAAAGGGGTAGGAGTTTAGGTGAAGTAAGGCTGGTTATTAGTAGATAATTAGTGGATGATGGGTATCTGGGTTTATTATATTAGTCTGTTTATTTTTGCAAGTTTGAAATTTTCTATAGTAAAATTATTTTTAAAAAATAAGCAACAACAGTAAACAGTAGAGTGTTATAAAATCTATGTAGTCCTTTTTATAATATAGCTAATTGTGTGGGAATTACTTTTAATCCCTGCGATTCTCAGTCCCTATATTCATTCAGTGACCAAATCCTGCCAATTTTACCTCTTAACTGCCACTTCTTTTTATCTAGTCCAAGCTGACTTTGGCCTATGTATAGTGCACGTCTACTTTTACCTATCTCTCAAAGTGTAGCCAGGGTGCTATTTTTTAAAAAATAAATTTGATCATACCCATCCTTGGTTTAAAATCCACTGTCTTCTCATAGATTATAGGATAAAGGCTAAACTCTTCAATATGCAATTTAAGGCCTTGCAGACTCTATTCCAACTGACCCTGCGTACCTCACCAACTCGATCTTGAGATGCACTCCCTTGACTGTCTACACTCCAGTTACTTCTTGAACTTGCCATACTCAGTGCATTTACACATGCTGTTCCCTCTGCATAGAATCCCTCCCTCCCCCTTATACACACCCTCATCTCTTAGGTCTCACCTAAATGCTGCTTTCTCAGGGTAGCTTTCCCACTGTTTTGGTCTAAGTGAGGTCAAATTTCTCATACCCTCATAACAACTTGTCACAACTGAAATTTAAAATTTGTTGAAATTATTTGTTTAGTGTCTGTCTTTCCTGCCGTAATATAATCTCAAAGAAAGAAGGAACTAGGTCTTATTATTGTATCCCCAAAGCCTAGCATTTTGTCCTGCACATAGTAAAAGGTCAATAAATCTTTATTGTACTATAAATGACTGGCTTGGTGAATAAACAAACAAATAAATAAATTTAAATGTAATACTGTTAAAATAATGAAACAGAATTACCTGCACCATAATTACAATATTACACAGTTAACCTTAATGTTAGTCATACTCCCAAATAAAATATTTGCAAAACTTCAATGCATATGTATATAAGCAAACAAAAAGAGGAAATAAATGAGAATGACTTCACTACAAATCCAGGTTACAGTCCCTCACTGATATTTCAAAAGTACTTAACAACAAAGGAAAAGAGATGTATCTTAATACATTATCCACCTTTCAAAGGAGACACACACATAGCCAAATAAAAGTAGTTCTGATACAAGCTCCACCTATGCTATTCAGATGGAAAACTTGGCTTCTCTGAAAGGGTAATAAAAACCATATACAGTATAATTTTACATTTATATGCAATTATTTAAAACAAGCTACATATATAGGATGCACACTGTCTCTTAACTTATAAAACGGGTGAATTTAACTAATCTATTCAAGTAAAACCAAAGCTTAAACATTTTCAAGATTAGATCTTTATAACTTTTTAAATTAATGAGAAAAAACTACAAACTCCTGAACCAAAATTTTATTTTAAATTATTAGGCTTTTTAGGGCATATGAAAAATTTTCATAACACTACATGTAAAGATGTTAGCACATTAAACTACAATAGAACATATTTTTATACAACTTTTGAATCATTAATATGCTCATTTCTCCTGTGAATGAATGCCCAGTTTGCTTAAATCACCTTTGTCAAGGAACATCAAGTAGGTTTAAAATTTTCATATTGTTGTTTAGTAACTTCCTAATAAGGTTCTGAGTTTCTATTTGACTTATACATATATTTTTTTTCAATGTATTTAAGACTGTAGTAGCTTTTTCTCTCATCTCTGGTGGGACATATTTAATATCTAAATATTCAGATAACTTAGATCTAGAATTGTACAGCATGGTAATAACAGTGTCAATGTCATCAATTTTACCATTTCGTTCTGATGGTAAAAACTGGGATTCATACATTTTTTCTAACTTATGTTCTGCCGCTGCCGCGAGAGCAAGGCTTCGTTTCAGGTGCTCTCTAGAGGCGAGAATGTCCTCTCTATACTCTGGCTTGAGACTCTCTGCATGAGGTACCTGCTGTACCTCTGAACTAATATCTGAAATTTTTTTCAAAATGTCTTCATTACTCAAAATCATTGTGTATTTTTCAAATGGTAGTGTTTGATATTCTCCTGAGAGCTGAGGAACATCTTCTCCTTCTGTGGAGGTATCGAAGTCAGTCTTCAAGGTACCTGGGGATAATTCAGTGACATTTGACCGTGGCTTTGGCGCCCCAGTTGGTTTTACGTCTGGCTCTGGCTCTGGCTCTGGCTCTTCTTTTTCAATATAAGGTTCTTTTGAATGTAAAACAATAGAAATATTGTTTGGTTTAATCGACCAGAATGCTGTACTTTTAGTCCGTTTTTTCCTCCCTGTTTCCAGTGTGAAGTCTCTAGTTGGGAAAGTTGTAGTTCCATCAGTGACGGGGTTGATTAAAACATCATTCGCAGTTGAAGTGTCATCATGTGTAATTATCTCCTTAAATTTTGATACCTTCGATCTCATAGAATAAACATTATTTGAAGACTCTGATTTTTTCTCATGGCCTGGCTCCCTAGTGGGAACACTTAGTAGTACGTTTTGTAAAACTTGTACATAATGATTCAAGTTTTGTTCTTCGTCAGGTGTCACAGTTATGCCTTAAGGGAAAAAAATCAAACAGTAAGTAACATCTATTATTATATATGACATACTGACAAAATCTACTGACCCAAATTTACTTCACATGCCATCACTTAAAAGTTGAGACAAAGAACCAAGAAATAAAGCACCTCTGACACAGTCAATTCTCAAAAAGAGCAAAATTATCTTTTCAGATTCTTATTGAAACAGATGAGCAAAATTGTGTTAAAAGGTGCATATTCTCTGTAGCTTTTTGTTTTTACTCTCCCATACAACTTACCATTCAGTACAACTTATTAAAACAAAATTCTTGATTATGTCTTCCAACACAGTAGTGTGCTGGAGTAGGTTCATACTGGCTCACCAGAGCCATTTATTAAAGTTTTAGGGATCCTATGGGACAGATCTTAAACATAAACATCATTTAAAAATTAAATTATCTAAATTTGCAATTAAATAAATTATATTAAAAACAAAGGTAATAAATATTCAAAACTCATCACTTTCTTATTATTTCATATTACTATTTTCTATGCTCTTAAGGTTACTTACATCTAGGATATCTGTATGATAGAAATACTATACTATATATACTACTGTATATCTTTTTCTACCTCCCTGTTCAGTGATGTCAAGTAGGTAGCTTGAAATCAACCATGATGGGGCAAATACTATAAATCAGGGCTTACCTATCTCTCCATAAAGTCAGTTGTTAAACATTTACCAGTATACCACTGCCTTCAACCCAGCAAATATCTAACTACAACCTGTGGGTCATATCTACCCTCAGTTTTTGTAAATAAAGTTTTATTAGAACCCAGCCAGTCTTGCCCATTCATTCTGTATTGCTCATCACTGCTTTTGGCTGCAACAGTAGAGTTGAGTAGTTCAACGGAGACCACATGACCTACAGAGCTGAAAATGGTGTCTGGCCCTTTCCAGAAAAAGTTTGCAGATTCCAGTCTAAACCATCAACTTTTCAGTCTTACAACAAAAATGACCGTTATATTTATGCTAGTATTTTGCAGCATCTGAGTGGTGAAGCCTCTCATTTCCAATGTGGAAAACAGAAAAGATTATTGAATAAGATATTCCTAAATTCTGCTCAACTCCCCTACTCCTGAGTCAGTAGTTTTTAATGTTAAGAGCTGAAATTTTGTATTGCATGTAATTTTGAATTGATTTTGCCACTATTGTGGATAAAAATTGATTTAATTCAAGGAAGTAAATCACTTTTTACCAAACTCTAATGTATAACTCCTACCTGAACCCTCCCTCTGCAGGCGAAATGAAATATAGTAACAAACTTTCTGTTCAGGAGGCACTTTTATTCAGCTGTTTGACAAGCGTGAAATAGTCTAAAAATGTTTTATATTTACATTCCTCTTTCTTCCTTACCTCTTCTGTTACAACTTAGACCAGATGAAGTTTAATCAATATGGAAAGCATATTTCTAAATTTAAAAAATTTTTAATGCGAACAGTTTACACTTTGATTTTGGCTCAGTGAAACTGATTTTAGACTCTGGCCTCTAGGGAGAAAATAAATTTCTGGTATGTTGAGACACCATAAATTTATGGTAATTTGTTATAGCAGCCACAGAAAACTGACACAGGAATATAATAAAATCTTCTGAAAAACATAATGCGAACTTCTACAAATGGAAAGAAACACCATGTTCTCAGACAAAATTCAACATCAATGTGATAGTGGAAAGACACTGCACTTGTCTAGAGATCTAGATTTTAAAAGTAGATTCTGAATTTTATGTCATGCTTAGCAACACCTTGCATACTTCAAAATCCATATGATAATGACCGGTCAAAAAAGGAAGCTATGTAACATAAGTTAGATTTTGATATTAACCTTATAGTAATATTTTTAAATCATGGACATAGTACCATACTTGGTGGATTAAAAAAAAAAAAGACAAGCAAACAACAAATTCATGGGTAGTTACCTCTAAGGAGAGGAAATGGGACTGAAGTTGGTCATTAAAGGGGACTTTAGACTTATCTATAAAAAACACACAAGCACACATACCTGATTACTTAATATAGTAAACCATTAAAAGTTACATTTTAAAAAGAAAAATAACTTATGTATTCTCATATGTATAAATTGCATTGTCCTGAAGGAAAATATTAAGTAAAATGAATATGAAGCCTAATGCAGTGAGAAAAAAAAAATCTTTGATTCTGGTCCTGGCTCTACCACCTTCTATTGTCATGATCTTAAGTAATTACTTAATTTCTCCGAACATTTACTTAACCATAAAATTAAGATACTATATCTGCCCTTTTATCTCATAAAACCAAATAAATTAGACATTTGAAAACACTTTAAAAGCTACAGAGCACTATATAAGATAATAATATTCTCTATAAAGGTAATTGCTTAGATTTCTTACTTTAAAATATAAACTTAAGTCCCTAAAAAGAACATTAAAAATGTGATTTGGGTCCAAATAGTAAAAACTCTAGAAGCTTTCCCGCTAAAGACAGAAACAAGGTCAGGATGCTAATATCGCCATTACCGTTTGGCATGGTATTGGAGATATTAGTCAAAATAATTAGACAAGAGGACATACTTGGAAGCACGAGAATCCAGAAGAAAAAGGTAAAATTATCTTTATATGCAGATGATTTAATTCTATATCTAGACAACACAAAGGAATCCATTGAAAAGCTACCACAAAAGTAAAAGAATTCAGTAGAGTAGCAAGTTAGAAAATCAACATACAAAAATCAATATATAAATATAAACCAATTATGAGATAAAATGAGAAAGAAGATGCTATTTTGATAATAAAAAAATAAAATATTTATTATTAGATAATAAATTTTAAAAGACATGCCCCAAATCTATATGAGGAACTATGCTGAATATAGATGTTCAGAGATCAGGTCCTAATCCATGGACCTGTAAATATTACTTTACATGAAATCAAGTCCTTGCAAATGTAATTAAGTTAAGGATCTTGACAAAAGAGATTATCCTAGGTTATCTGGGTGAGCTCTAAATCCAATTACAAATGTTTTTATAAGAGAGAGACAGAGATTTGATACAAACATAGACAAGGAGGTGGTAACATGGAGGAGGTGGCAGAGAATAGAGTGAAGTAGCCACAAGACAAGGAATGCCAACGGTCACCAGAAAAGCGGAAGAGGCAATGAAAATATTGTCTCCTAGAGCTTCCAATGGGAGCACAGCACTGCCTTACACCTTGATTTTGCTTCAGTGAAAAAGATTTTAGACTCTGGTGTCTAGGGAGAGAATAAATTTCTGGTAGGTTGAGACACCATAAATTTATGGTAATTTGTTATAATAGCAGCCACAGAAAACTGACACAGGAATATGATAAAACCTTCTGAAAGAAATAATGCAAACCCTACAAATAGAAAGATACATCACATTCTCAGACAAGAAGATTCAACATCATAAAGATGGTAAGATGTCATATTCTTTCTGTTAATGTATACGTTTAAAATGCTCTTAATAAAATATCATTAATTGTTCTCTGGAGATAGGAAAATGGATTATGAAGTTCATTTTAAGAACAAATGAGTAAGAATAGCCAGAAAAACAGGAGTTAGCCCTACTAGATATTAAAATATATTATAAAGTCTCTATTATAAAACAGTATAGCACTGTCTATGAATAGATAGCAAATGGAAAGAACAGAAAATACAGAAATAGACCCAACTGCATATTGAAATATAGCTCAAGATGAGGAAAAGTTTCAATTTATAAAGTATTCCAGCTAATAAATGAAGAAGCCATTTGTAATTAGAATATGATCATTTTGCAATGATTATCAATACCAATGATCATTTATATCACAAAAAAAAACAAAATCAGACATTATATGCTTCCTGATGAAAGAACACAATACCATCTATAAAGTAGTATTGCAAAAAAGGTCAAACTTGAATCTAACAAGGTCTCTCTAGGTCTAACTAATAATATACATGGAACAACAAAAAATGTATATAAACTACACCATGGGGATGCAACCAGCAAAATCTAGACTGCGGGAAACTACAGAACATTTAGATCCAATTTCTTCAACATTTACATTGCAAGGGGGAAAATGGAGATGAAGGAAGAAATATAGATTAAAAGAGAATTAACAGATGTATCAACAAATTACATGTACAAATCTTATTTGCATTTCAATTCAATCAAATGAATTAGAAGAGAAAAATCAGGAAAGTTTGAATACTGACCAGATTTTTGTTTTTAACGTTAAGGAATGATTATCTTTTTAGGTATGAAATTCACACTGGTGTGTTTTTTTAAGTACTTATATTTTAGTGCTACATGTTGAACTATTTACTAAAAAAATCATATGATGTCTGGAATTTACTTCTAAATAATCCAAGTCTGAGAAGTTGGGGAGAGGGACCAAGGAGGTTAAAGGGAAAGGAATGTGAGTAGAGATAGCAATGAAACAAGATTAATTTGAGTTAATAATAGTTGAAGTTGATTATAGATATAGGAAGATTTATTATTCCATTCTTTCTACTTGTATATATATTGAAATTTTTCCATAATAAAATGGTTTTTAAAAGCTGTTCTGAAAGAATTTTGATTCGGGGCAACTATTCATAAGCAAATCTAAAATCTGCTACCAACAAAGGCTTAAATGCTTTTAAGAAGACATTTCCATTAGATTATAGTTTGGCAATCATTCAATTTTTAATCATTTAACTTGTCTCTTATCCTATTTAACCTAAATAGGATACCAGGTTACTAAGAGATGAATTAGATTATCAAAGGACAAGAAAAGGAGATGCTTACTGCTAGTTGATTCCTAAAAAAACCTGAACTACTCGTTATCCCTTTATACTGTTACTCAGGTAACACTTTAAAAAGCCTGTTCATGGCTGCCTAACAGAGTGCTCTACCTTCAACTTTGCTTTTCCTCCCTTCTTCATGTACCCTTTGTCTCCACATATTTCTGTTATTAAATCCATCATTCTCTCCTCGACACATTTCTCACCTCTTGCTTTTGTCCCTCTAAAACATCTACATATTTCATATTGACTTTCTCAGTTCTACTAATCAAAACTGCTCTTGAAAATCAACTTGACCTTTATAAAAATGTTTGGAGCCAACATAGTAAAAGATAGTCAAGATTCAAATATCCCTACAATTGGCTCTGGCCACTGTGAAAACCTGCTTTTCCCCATTTTTCAGGAGGTACTAGAAGGATGAACAAATTTAAATTCTTATGAAGACCAGACTACTCAGCTAGAAGCTATATTATTATACTTTGAATATTGGTAGTCCACACTGGTATACTTTATAATATACCCTCTATTTTTACCAGGTAGTGATCCAGCCAAGCATAGTAAAGTCTCAGAATGTAGCTAACCAAGCTCTTCCACCTTGAGAAACCACAGTGCTGCTTTCTAGGCCTCTAGCAGAATGGCTACCTGCTAAGCAGGCTTGAGATTAGCAGAAATCACAGATATGAAAGTTAAAGTTGAGTGTGAGGCTGTCTGCACTTCTCTTCTTGAAATAGAACAACAGAAAGAAGTAATACAAAGAAATAACACATGACAGAAATAACAGGAAAGTAAACAAAATGGTAAAACAACTGTAGGAACAAATGTAGGAACAAAAGTGGTATGAAATCTGAAGGGAAAATTGGAAAATAGTGATCGAAAGGACCATAATAGCTCTGACTGACTGAGCAATTACTATGTGTTAGGCACGATATTAAGGGCTTTGAATGTGAGGAGTGCTTTTATAAAGAGGAAAAGGAGGACACTTAGAAAGGATAAGTAATCTGCCTAAGATTATATTCGACTTTAAGTGGTAAGAATGGAATTCGAACACATGCTGCCTTATTTCAAAGCAGGTACACATAACAACTACACAATGCTGTCATAAAAAGATAATACAAGGATGCTGGCAAAACAGCAGGAACATGGTGATATAATTATCTGGAAATAATCAACTCTCTTCAAATACATGTGAATATTAACATATAATCAATAAATGAAGTAAGCGAATAAAATGCACAAAATTTTACTCTGCTGACAACTGGACCGAAATACACCCTTTTCATATATTAAGATGTATTTGGAAGTATTAAAAACAACTAATCCAGATTTACTATGCTTTCCTACTATAAAGTATGGGTAGAAACTGACAGTCAATGACTTACAAAAGAATAAATTCACTCACACGAGGTAAAAGACAAATTAATTAGTTTTGAGTTTATCCTAAGGAAAATAATAAAATCATGATTTAAAATGAGCAGTGAAATATAAAATTTCAATTAACAATCAATATATTCAAAATATGTATTTCTTTCTCATAGAATGGCCCATTAAAGGAGGAAGAAGAGGGGATAAGGAATAACATAAAAGCCAACTGGCATGAAAACTTGCTAAAATTCACTGTTCATAAAAGAAATGCAAGTTAAAAACAATTTTTATTCTGCCAGTCATGGAGCAAAATTTTTTTTAAACAATAAAACCTAGGATTGTCATGTGTATGTTACTTTCTTAGTAACAGAACTTTCTCACTTCCTTACTTCCAGATCTTTCATTAGTCTCTCTCTAGCACACTGATTTTTTATTTATAGAACTTAGGGTAATTTTAACTATATATTTGTTTAATATTTGTTAACTGCTACATAGTGTAAGCTCTTTGAGAGCTGTGACAACATCTGCTTTGTTCTCTATATCCCCAATCTAACCAATGCCTAGAACTAAAGCAGACAGTCAAAAAGCACTTGTTAAATGATTGATTGAATGAATGAACCAAATGCTGGCAAATATAAAATTAAACGTACCTCCAGTAATTATCTTAAGGAAATAATCACAGGTAAAAATTTGTATAGAAGAATGCTGTAGAGGAAAGACTGATTTGGGTTTTTGTTTTGCTAACTGTCCAATAATTATTAGGGAGAAAATTCGGGCAATAAAAAAAAGGTTCTCTTATTTTAGGCAAAGTAGGCAGGTTTTTTTTAAATAATAATAAAAGATACAGCTTTAACCATATTTTTCTAAATTTCTAAGTCTGAAGTTTATCTAAAACAACATAAACATTGTAGTTAAACAGCTCAAATTTACAGAAAACCCCTGCACTTCTTCCAACTGGCCCTTACTAAATGGCATAGTATAAATTTAGATCACATTAACTAAATTTGTTTAAGTTCTATTCATTTTATTTTATTGGATTTTATCAACATCTAAAGTAACAAAGCATTAACATAATTTTAACTAAATTACAATCTTAAGCAATGTGATAATACTTCCATAGTTTTAATACATATTTTTAAGTATACAATTTTATTCTTTTTAGTATATTCACAGTTGTGCAACTATTATCACAATCTAAGTTTAAAACAGTTTCATTACCCCTAAAATAAATCCATTCCCAATTTCCCTATCTCTCTTATTCCTAGGCAAACACTAACCTACTTTCTGTCTCTGTAGGTTTGCCTATTATAGACATTTCATATAAATGACATCAGGCCATACATGTTCTTTTGTGACTGGCTTCTTTCTCTTAGCATAATGTTTTT